TTAAGTTTTACCTTGCAAGTAAATAAAACCGAGTAATTATCATTCTGTGTTTTCTTCTTCAACTTATCACAGCAATAGTAACAATAATTAGGTAATCATTGGCTGTCGCGGGCCAGATTGATGACAGTAAATCATTGGCTGTCGCGGGCCGGATTGATGACACTGGCGGGCCGGATTTGGCCCGCGGGCCGTAGTTTGGAGACCCCTGCTCTATATTTTCAGTTATATTATGATAAATACTACTTTAAAATTGCCAAAATTTTGTGATACGATGTAATACAGAAAAAATTCTCAAAAAGTTGCGTTAATTCCGATATATTAATTTTTTATGCTATTTGAAATAATAAACTAATTCAAGTTATTTCCGGATAACGGATAATCATCTAAAAATCATTGAGGACTGGATTATTTCAAGACTGATATACCCTTAAGCCATTGAGAAAATGTGCGAATATACTGTGAGTTCTGTCTCAGTTGTTACTCATAATATCGTTAGGAATTGTTTTGGATGATAATATTCCGTAATTTTTTGAATTCGAACATAGTCAAATTAGTATCGGAGACCGATGGATATTTTGAATCGAAGATTTCTCATTCTACCTATATAACTTATAGTTGGACTTTGAATTCATTTCTATTATGTTTCCCTTCTATTTCATTTTTACGTGAAATTTAAAGGATTTCACGGATGTTGGGAGAAATATAAAAATGAAATTAGGCGACATCACTTCTATACTCGAAAATATATTTTCTTTCATCTTCATCGACGAAACTGCTTTACTAACACCAAATGAAGTTCTCAATAGCAAAAAATAGTTAATACATTAAATTTATTTCCATTAGGATTAACACCAAGACAAAATGAACCACGAGCCGTTTCGATGCCTCCCGGTAAAAAAAGTAGAAGCCTTTCCAGGAATCAAAATTATCTGGAACCTCCTAGTAGGTTTCTATCTCCAGAGTCGAGTGAAGAAGAAGATATGGAATCGGTAAGAGGTCGTTCCAGAAGAAGGTCTCCTAGAAGAAGATCTAGGTCACCAAACCGTGAGTATGAAGCAAAACTTTTTTTTTCTCAATCTATGGAAGAAGCATCACATACAAACACTTCATTCATATTGAAAAAATGAAATGAATTCCTTAACCGTATAGGTTGAGTATTTCGTTCATTACCTTTTTGAGCAAATTATGAGTTGAACTTTCAACATTTTCGGGTATGGCGTTGTATAATTTCGTGCCGGGACGACGAAATGATTTCAAGGATGACGACAAGGATGTAATTGTTATATGTATATCACTTTCCATTCTAGTAACATAGTTATGAATGGTCTCAATTTGTCTCATATATGATAGAACGTCTAAAATGTAAAGACCAGCAAGAAGCAATAGTTTGCAATATATTATAGTGGCGTATTTGCTTTTTCAGCTGCAGGAAAACCCGGATAAACCTGCAGCACCACATCATCTGAAGATCTTTATTATTTGGACATTCAAAAGAATACAATAAATAAGGGAAATCAAGGTAGGGGAGAATGTTACGATCAGACATGATCCACAATCAGACAAAGCATGTAATTTTAAAATTCCAGCTGCGAGTTCGATGTTTTTCCTTCGGATAGTAGGGTTACACACGCAGTTTTGGTAAACAAAGTTGTAACGCTATTCTTTTGGATTTGAGCATGTTTCAACAAAAAACTTGTTTTCCTAGGTAAGTTTTTTCTATTCCTGATTTGATATTATAAACTTTAATTTTTCTTTTGGAACTAGTAGTACAAAAACAATCTGTTGATCAGATTTGGGCTATTTCATTGACATTTTATGAGCGAGTTTACTTTTGTAGGTTATGTATGGAGTTCACAGTTGAATTTAATCAGACGCTGTCTGATTGTGGAACATAATTCGTGCCGTTAAAAAAGTGACTTATGGAGCCCCGTATGGTACTTTGGGATTGGTTTCCGACTCTGAATGGATGACTCGTTGTTTCCAAGCGTTGTGAGGCACTTCATTGAACATACGTCCAGCACAAAAGAAAACCCTTCCCTCCTGATTTTTGACAATCACGAGAGTCATCTGACGATAGAAGGAATTAATTTAGCAAAGGAAAATGGAATGATCATTTTGACCTTAGCACCGCTTACTTCCAACAAGATTCAACCGTTAGATGTCTCTGTGTTTTTTTCGTTCAAATCATTCTACAATACTGCCTTACAAACATGTCTTTTAGAACCCCTTGGGATACTCGTTTCTATTTTTGATATAACTGGCTGTGTTAATAATGCATTAGAAAAATCGATGACGCCAGCTAATATAAAATCCGGATTTCGAAAAACTGGGATTTATCCTTGCGATAAATTCATATTTACAGATGACGACTTTGCAATTAGTAGCGTAACTGATAGAAATGTGGATCAAAATAATGAAGAAGCCCGATCACTAATAGATCCCAATCAACCATCAACATCAAGCTGTATTGAAGAAAATATTATGTCAGTCTCTTCACTTTCAGCATCAGTTAATTTACACACATACAAAATCAAAACACAGAAACTTTCGTAAGTCCGCAAGAATTAAAAGGATACCCAATAGCTGAAGAACGAAAGAATCAGAGAAAGAAGAGAGAAAAAGCTAAAAGTATTATTGCCACCGACACTCCAGAAAAGATCACCCTGAAAATTCAACAGATAGAGAGAGAAAAAAAATAGCTTGATGAAGAAAAATATCATGGAAAGAAAAGTAGGATTCGATGAATACTCAACAGACGAAGAAAATGAAAACGCGGCGATGCTTGTAACTGAAGATTCTGATGATGATATTGATTTTGTAGGAGAAATCGATCTACCACCTCTTCTAGACAAGCTTAATAAAGAGCCAGAAGTTGCCGATTTTATTTTGATAGAATTTATAGACATGAAGAAAAAAATTATTGCATAGCTGAAGTATTATGTAAAAGAGATAAGGACTGTGAAGTTAAATTTTTGAGAAAGCCCGTTAAATATGATAACAGCTTCATTTACCCCGAAATAGAAGACGTCTCTTCGGTATGCTTGGAAAACATTAAGATGGTGTTACCAAAACCATCACACGTGGAAATAACAAAACGGCAACAATCAAATTTGAAGTTAATTTTTCAGCCTAAGAAGTTCGTTAAAACAGTACTAAAACTTTTGTCTTATTGTGGAACATGCCGTGTCTGGATGTTGATCATGTATGTTCCACAATCAGACAACTGTCCTTTCATTTTTAAACAAACTTTTTTTGGATTATTTTTTTGGTTAATGATGTATATACTACCATAGAACCTAATGCACAGCCTTAATTTGTATTAGTGACAATTATATTTTCGTTTGCTCAATAAATAAGGTTAATATTTAGCAAAATCTATTTTGTGTCTGATTGTGGAACCTTCTCCCCTACATATATGGAAATAAAGGGCGAAGTTTATTTTCTGTTGTGTAAACACGACAGAAAATATTCTTCCACTTAACCCCACTTAACCCAATGATACTAATGCTGATTCATTCAAAACTCGCTTTAAGTGTCCCAACAAACAAAAGTATCTGCTAAAATTATTGCAATGAGTATCGAATTTAATATTGATCACAACATAAATGTCTGAAAATTTGACACTACTACATATTTCTGAAACCTCATTACCAATATTGACATGCATATTTTGAGTGGTTATAAAGATAACTGTTTCCGTTTTCCGAACGAAAGGTATTCAAATATAAGCAATTGTGTGAGAACCAATTAAATATGTTTAAAATATGTTTTTTCCGCTAACCAGCTATAGCACTCCTACGAATGACAACCCTCAGAAGTCGAATCTAGTGCAAGCTAAGGACTAAAGAGGTTTTACCTTTTAACGTGTGATTCCTAACTTGGACGATAGCAAGTGAAAATCGAGTGTTCAGCCTGCGGCTTGAACCATCGACTCACACATCGACCGAATGACTGAGTGAACAAAGCACCCACGTCGAACCGCCCGGCTACTGACCGACCATACAAGTGATCCAAATTGGGCATAACCCTTCAACTTGAACAAAAGAGATGAATTATCTACGTGCAGTCAGATTAAGCAGTCATGTAAAGCAGATGATACCATATCAAAATATAATATGCAAAGAATCGGTCCCAATACCAACTTTTGGGGAACACCAATGTCATTCAGTAATACATTAGAAGAAGGGAAGTCATTTCGGTAGCTGAGTATTGGACTTTTACTGATTGCGTGCATGCAGAAAGGTAGGGAGTAAACTATTCAAGCTGAATTTCCCTGAACGAAAGTTCGTTAATTGAAAAAATGAAAGAAGCTGGTCCCACCTGGCATTGCCCGGTGAGATACCATTGCAACGGCTTAGGCAGCGTGAAGTTGCTTCCGAAATAAATTTTCGTTGCTGTGCCGCTGATTATTCTCGTTTCATTGGTAGGAATATAAGGAAAAATTGCATGATGGCGCTCCAAGGGTCGAAATACTCCAGAGGTAAAATAACTCCTAAATCGGCTCTCCAGGTGGGGGTTGATTCGAGAGCATCATCGTGCAGAAGTTATTCGGAAAGTACACCTTCAACTACACTGTTTAAGAACTCTTCCATTTGGAGAACTGCGTTTATATGGGATAAACTTCCTGAAAACGCTTTCCTAAATGGATTCAATTTCCAGCGATTTAAATCCAGTGTGAATCGCTAATTTCGCACAGACATCCCTCTTAAAGCGACTAAAAGATTTTTCTGTAGCGCTTGTCTTTGTTCAAAAGAAATATCATGCTTGACGTAGTCAAAAGTCTGACTCAGATCACAGTATATCTTGATTGGGTTTTCGGTTGCCTCATTCTGAGAGTGTCGAGTGAAATAGAAAAATAATCGATGTAGAAGGATTAGTTCTGAGTCCATGTTAATTGGGTGGTAAAATATTATTTTTGTCTGAAACATAATGTGAAAAATTCAGGGCTTCTACGTTGGTTTACTATTTAGATTGTGCTCAGCTCCAATCGAATTATCCTTTCAGAGTTACTCAAAAGGCTAGGATTATTTTGCAGTTTCCAGCCTTTCCCAACAGCGTCTCATGTGAGAAACAAGAGGGACTGAAATACCCACCGCATCCCTATTTTGTCATTTTCCTAACCACCTCATTCTGATCTATCTGTAACATAGAATCTTTCAATTCTTCAGCTGCACCTCCCAGTTTGGTTTCATTATCGAAATAAATGCATGCGAGAATCCTCTCCTTCCCAAAAGTCTTCTGATAGCTAAAGTTGCCTTATAAGTGACCAAAGAACTGGTTGTGTCTAAATGTACTTAGACACGTAAATAACACTCATGACTTCTGTGGACAGTGACCATCATAAGACTAAAATAGTCCATTCCTGTGGAAGTGAGACGCCTGACAAAACTACCAAACCTGCATTAAGATAGTGGTTTTACCCTACTGGTCTCACCCTCGAATTTTTTACACATATTGGCAAGTATTCCAAGTTCTCCTAATTGCTGCTTGAGTCAAATTGAAGGTAAATGGGAGATAACTTTTTTCTGCTTTTTTAAGTATGAGGAGACTTTTTCTTCGAACGCGTGATTTTTTGAGTGACATTTATTGATATTTCTCGTTCTGAGTCAATTTCATCCTGGAGCTAACTGAAGCGAAACGTTATTTCATATTTCAAAATTTTTGGTACCCTCAGAATCCATGCAGTGGTTTCCAAAAGTCTCATATACGAAGAAAAATGACTAATATCTTTAAGAAGTACCATCTTTCCACCACCAAAAGAATTTTTGGGCATCTCGATCTTCTTTCCTACCGTGGATTCGGTGAAACATCTATTGAATATCTCCGGAGAGAACTATTCTCGTTTCTCTGAATTCAAACATTATCCTAATGAAGAATCCAACAAATCAGGTCCTTTCAGTAGTTAATCATTATGATACACTTCATTAACTCTTGCAGCGGCATCAAATACAAATATGATTTTCTCTGGTTGTTTGGATTGATGACTCCAAAGTGAGGTAGGTACATACCATGTGTCCTAATTATGTATGAGGTCTTTGCAAATT